AAAAAAAAAAAAAAAAAAAAAATTCTTAACCTTTTATGTAACATCCTCCACCACCTAGACCCCAGAGTAGCTTTCTAGCTTCCCCTCACATAATTCTTCTCTTGCTAAATTGTCCAGCTAAACCCATTGCCTTATTATCCCTTACATGTCTTTCCTTTTTGTGTGTTGATGCTCTCTGCCTAATGTCCCCCTTGCTCTCACATATCTGTACCATAGATTCATAAATGGTTACCCTACACCTTGCCTTTTCCCTGAGGCTTCTCAGGCAATTCTAGCTCCAGATGATCACTTGAGCTCCTCTACATGAAGAGTATTTATTATCTCTAACCCTTAATTGATAGATGGTTCATTTTATATAGCACTATAGCATCACTTATTATTATTCAATGTATATCATTACATTTAATGTTTTGGTGGGTTTAGACCACATCCCCTATATAAATGGTGACCATATCAATGGTGACTTCCTCAAGGTAAAGATGGTCTCTTATGCTTTTTTATATCCATTGATACACAGAAGCAACTGAGATAGTTTAACTTTTAAAATATATGCATTTTCAGACATTTAACGTCTAGATTTTCTTTATTATGCCCTGATGATAAATTAGGCACCTTTGAAAGTGGGAGCAATTATTTTAGGTGCCTTAAGGACCTACCTAAAAAATTTGCTTTTCCAAAATGCAGTGGGTCCTAAATAGGGAATTAGAAAGGGAAGAAGGAAATCCACATGAGATTTTTATTATTTTAAAGTGGCTAACAAAAATTATAGTTGACCCTAGAGAGGCAGCTCATTAAATTTATGTGCTGTTGCCTTGAATTTTTCAGTAACAGGAATAAACTTGTCATTCAGAAGTTTTGACTAGTTGTTAATAACATCTTGGGAATTTCTGGGCTCTACAGAAATAAAAGGAATAAACAAGGAAGTTTAGTAGAAGATTTGGATCCACAACCCTTGAAGTGTAAGGAAACCATGGTTAGCTATTACCTTGTTGGAATAAAAACTAAAACATGAGAATAAGGAATAATTTGAGAATAAAGTGTAATTCACTTAAATTTGACCATAACTTTTATGTGATGTAGTAGAATATTTTTTTCGCTTACTAAATTTTGTGCTTTTATTTCATAGATATTATGCCTTAGAGGTCTCATATTTCAAATCCTCTTTGGATCGCAAATTGCTCGAGCTGTTGTGGAATAAATACTGGGTGAATACATTGAGTTCCTCTAGCTTGCTTACTGTAAGTATTATACTTGCAAGGAATGCGTTTTAATTTTATCTAAGCTACGTAGCCATTGGTTCACAGAAAGGCAGTACCTAACCTGGCCAAGACACCAGGGCTGGGGTGAGATTCTACACCACCAGAGCAGGATTAGGATGCTAGGCCAATTCAGGATCTGTGTCATGACCCATAGAGACCAAGTCTAAGTAGCGAATAGAGTGGCCAGATCAGGGTGAGATCTGCCCCTGCCATAAGGAGATTTATATACAAATATTGATTTTTTTATATCAGGTGTCTCGGCTTCGAGTCTGGTTGCAAGTAACATGATACCTCATAAAATTAGCTTAAACAAGAAAGAGAATTGTGTAAGTTGCAAAGCTAAGGAATAAGGCTTAACTTAGGCACAGCTAAGTTTTCATTCAAACAATATTATGAGATCTTGTGTTTTTTCTCTCTTGGCATTGATTTCATCTTAGTTACTGCAAGTTTCAGGCTTCATGTGAAAGCAAGACAGCAGCTTTAGCTTTAGACCTCCAAGCCTCTCAGTTTCATGTTCAAAGATATGGTCAAGATACACACACACACACACTCTCTCTCTCTCTCTCTCTCAATCTCTTCCCCCCCCACCTCTCTCTCTCCGCCAGGCAAAATTTCATTGTGTCTGACTGGCTTTACTTAATCACATGCCCATTTTTAGGACACACACACACTCCCACGCAAAACTTCATTGTGTCTGACTGGCTTTACTTAATCACATGCCCATTTTTAGGCCTGTGTGGGCCAACTGAATAAGCCTGATGAGTGGCTTGGGCCATGGCAAGTGCTTTACTGCTGGGCCACAGTGTACAAAACTCCTTCAGTAGCTCAAGGACTAAAAATGGGGAAGGAGAGGTTCCCAGAGGGAACCAGAATAGCATTACCTTAAAGCAGTAGATGCTGGAAGGAAAAAAAAAAAAAGGGATCACTGAATTTTTTCTGATAATATCATAAAAACCCAAAATATTTGGAAGAATATTTAATGTGCTTCTCTATATTTAGAACTTTGGAACAATTTTTTTACTTTTCTAAAAAAGTAGGCTATTTCATATACTGCAGTATGTATACTGGTTAGAACCATAGAATTTAGAATAAAATAAACTGGGCTTGGAGAATATGAGCTACAGCAGCAGGAGTCATAGTAGGACAATCACTTAGAAGTTTATTACGTTCTTTGATCAAGTATTGGTTGAAAGGAGTACAGCTGAAACTGGAACCAAAGAAGGCATTATGCTTCCAGAAAAATCTCAAGGTAAAGCATTGCAAGCAACAGTAGTAGCTGTTGGATCACACTTTCAAGGAAAAGGTGGATTCAACCAGTTAATGTGAAAGTAAGAGATAAAGAATTATTCTCCCAGAATATGGAGGCACCAAAGCACCAAAGTAAAGAACTACTTTGCCATTCTTCAGGTTTATTCAGTTGACCTGGGGAGCCAAGGATTGTGTTTTTGTTTTGTTTTTTAAGACAGGGTCTCTGTCATCCAGGCTAGAGTGTGGTGGCACAATCTTGGCTCACTGCAGCCTCAGCCTCCCAGGCTCAAGCAATCCTCTCACCTCAGCCTCTCAAGTAGCTGGGACTATAGGGGTGAGCCACCATACCCAGCTAATTTTTGTAATTTTTTTTTGTAGAGATAGGGTTTCGCCATGTTGCCCAAGCTGGCATTGAACTCCTAGTTTTAAGCGATCTGCTCACATTGGCTTCCCAAAGTGCTAGCATTACAGGCTGTGAGCCTCCGTGCCCAGCCAGATTATTTCTTATTTAGAGATGCTGACATTCTTAGAAAGTATGTAGACTAAAGTAAATCACTATTGAAATGCCATCAACATGAAGCTGCTCATTGCACTTAAGTTCTGAAATACTTAATTATATAAATAATTTCCATGTCTCTCTTGTATAATAAACAAATGATATCCTTAAAAAATTGACTTTGAAAACAACTCTGCCACTTTACTAGTTCTGAGTGACTTTCAGAAAGTTATTTAATGTGACTGAGCATTTCTTTGTTGTAAAATGGTGATGTACTACATACATCATTAAGTACTCTGAGAAAATTAAATGGGCTACTTTATATAAAGCAATTAGCAAAGTGTCTGGCATATGATAAAGCTTCAATAATTTTTTTTTAATTTGGTGCATTGTATGCATGGAAAAATACCTCACTTTAGCCTATTATTTAACTGTGGTTTTTTTAGGCTAGTCAAGTGAAGCAGTGTATTTTTTATTATTTTAAATACAACTCTGACAAGCTCTCTGTTCTTTATTTTTTCTCTCTCTCTTCTTTTGAGTCAGGGTCTCACTCTGTTGCCCAGGCTGAAGTGCAGTGGTATAATCATATCTCACTATAGCCTGGACTTCCTGGACTCAGGTGATCCTCCTACCTCAGCCTCCTGAGTAGCTGGGACTACAGACATGCACACAACATACCTGAGTAATTTTTTTATTTTTTTATAGAGACGGGGCTTCGCCATGTTGTCCAGGCTGGTCTAGAACTCCTGGACACAAGCCATCTGCCCACCTCAGCCTCCCAAAGTGCTTTGATTACAGACATGAGCCACGGTGCCTAGCATCTCATTTCTTTTCTTTAGTAGTCAGAAGTAGCAAATTAGAAGGATGGAGAATGATCATAATAGCAAATATGTGTTACCTGCTTCCTATGTGCCAGACACTGCTAAGTGCTTTATATGTGTTGTTTCCTTAGAGGCAAGTATACTAATAGCAGCCAGAAGTGTCACCTGATGGCAAGGGGAGAAAACACTGTAAGACCAGAGCAGTCTGAACCTTTGTATGAGGCAAGCAGATCTACCTACTCAGCCCTATGTCTGTCCCTGTATTGCAGCACTGCATAGATGAGGACATTAATAATCAAGAAAAGGTTAAATTACATTTCTCCCTTTTTGTTTTTTTATTTATAGTACATTGCAGCATTTTGAAACAAATATGTAGATATATGTTCAACTTTCTCCCCCCAGCTAAGGAAGTTAACTATAGCATGTAACCTAAGTTATTTTCTAATTTAAGAAATTAGTTCACTGTATTTATTTTCTATGCATTTGAAATATTAATTGGATATCTTTTATTGTCATTTTAATAGTGTAGCTATTTCTGGTACCCTATATTTTTATGGCTTAAATAGCTCTGTAAACTTTAGGATTTTTTCCAAGTCTGTGGGAGGAAAATATATTGGTTTCCTAAACCATTTAGATCCAGACAAAATTAATATAATTGCATCTTTTAAATATTGTTAAGTTTGTAAATATCATTGGAAGAACTGGTAACATTTTAAAGAGCCCCCTGTAGTAGCTGTGATGGCAGCAACTAACTTTTCTTGTTTGGTGACTGAACTGTCTTTCCTTGCAAACTAAGCAAATAGAATTTCATACTGCTTTTTGCCAACTAGTTTATTTCCTCTTCACACTTCTATTGAAGATATAGGAAAGAAATATAATGTATACTTAATAACTTTGTGAAATTTTTTTTGTACTTTAGACTACAATTTAAAAAGTGATGCCCCATACAAATATTGGTAAAATATGTAATATTATAGAAAGCATATATGTAATATTACAGTTTCCCAAATGTAGGTATACATGTGAGCATATAACAGTACTCCATAATTGTGGTTATAGCTAAGTGGAGGAATTATTTTCTTCTTATTGGCCAGGCTGGTCTCAAACTCCTGACTGCAGGTGATCTGCCTGCCTTGGCCTCCCAAAGTGCTGGGATTACAGGCATGAGCCACTGTGCCCAGCCCAGAAAAGCTTTTAAATGTTATTTTTATAAATATTTTCGTAAGTAGTAATTCTAAAAGTTCATTAACATTACTAAGCCTTCACTAGGTGTCATGGACAGTCCCAAAAACTTTATATGCAATATAATGCATACTTAATTTGATTTTCACAGTAGCTCTAAGGTAGGAATTATCGACTCCCTTACCATTTTCAGAAGAGAACCTGGAGGCATACCTCAGGCCTTCAACTAATCTGCCATAGTTCCAGAACCTGGACTTAGGTCTGTATACTTCAAAGCCTCCCATAATAACAAATATTAGATTTAAGTGGTCAAGGAGAAAAATTCCAAGTAATTTTGAAATTATAAAAGGGAAAACATCTACACTTGAAATGCCTGAATTTGGAAGCATATTTTGCAAATGTAATTTGACTTCTCACTGACTATTCACTCAGATTTTATAGTGGAATTCTTTGCAAATGAAATATTCTTTGTAGAAAATTAGTTTACATTAAAATATATAGATTTTTAAGTGGTAGACTTCTATTTTATAGTGATACAATACCATTTTCCCCGCAGAATGCAGACTATACCACTGGTCAGGTCTTTGATTTGTCTGAAAAGTTAGAGCAGTCAGAAGCCCAGCTGGGACGAGGGAGTTTCATGTTGGGTTTAGAAACGCATGACCGAAAATCAGAAGACAAACTTGCCAAAGCTACAAGAGACAGGTAAGAGTAAATTTGTAAGATTCCTGTTTCCCCTAACTCTTTTTCTTTCAAAATTTTCAAACAGTAGTAGCATTCAAATTCCTTATGGCTCAACTTAGCTATAACTTAGAATGGTACCTGAATATTAACTTCTTGGAACCTTTAGGAGTTGTCAGACACAGGTTTTAACTTTGAAAATTTAGGATACATCAGGTAAGAACATTAAAAGGCTTAAATCAAAGATCTAAGGAGTGTTGCGGAACACTCCCAGGCGCCTTTTCTAGGTTCAACTAGAAAGTGTAACAAAGAAAACCAGCCTATCAGTGGATCTTTAGAGAGAGAGAGAGAGAGAGAGAGAGAGAGTGTGTGTGTGTGTGTGTGTGTGTGTGTGTGTGTAAAATTAGGATTTTTTTTTTGAGACGGAGTCTTGCTTTGTCGCTCAGGTGAAAGTGCAATGACGCAATCTCAGCTCACTACTACTTCCGCCTCCCAGGTTCAAGCAATTCTCCCCCCTCAGCCTTTTAATTAGCTGGGATTACAGACACCCGCCATCATGCCTATCTAATTTTTCTGTATTTTTAGTAGAGACAGGGTTTCACCATGTTTGCCAGACTGGTCTCAAACTCCTGACATGGGTGATCCGCCCGTCTTGGCCTCCTGAAGTGCTGGGATTACAAGTGTGAGCCACCATGTCCAGCCAAAATTAGGATTTCTTAAATTTACAAGATTTTAATATTTCATAAAGCTTTAAATCCTAAGATATTTCAGAAGTGATTATATCTCTCTTAAATTGTGCTTCTGAAATTATCCTTTATACTGTAATTTAGTATTCCAAATTTTATTACCAAAGATTTTGTTAGGAACAAATTTGGGATGTGTTCTCTAATAACTTACGAAATAATTATGTGGACCTTCATATACATAGGCTATACAAAGCTGCAAAGACTAACAACATTTACTTTCACAGAAATTAGAATTTTCGGCCAGGCACAGTGGTTCACACGTGTAATCCCAGCACTTTGGGAGGCTGAGGCAGGCAGATCACCTGAGGCCAGGAGTTTGAGATCAGCCTGACCAACATGGTGAAACCCAAAAATTAGCCAGGTGTGGTGGTGGATGCCTGTAATCCCAGCTACTTGGGAGGCTGATGCAGGAGCATCCTTCAACCCAGGAGGCAGAGATTGCAGTGAGCCAAGATGGCACCATTGCACTCCAGCCTGGGCAACAAGAGCAAACTCTGTCTCAAAAAAAAAAAAAAATTGAATTTTAATGTGATAATTAGGGGCAGAAAGGAAGGGAGAACCATACTGACTTCTATACAAACTTATATGTTAGTATCTATTTTAAGAACTGGCTTGGTTTATGGGGAAAAGAAGAGAAAAGGGTGGCTGAAGTATATCCTGGGATTGGAAGTCATTTTGGATTAGACTTATTTCATTGCCTTTTTCTCGGTGGGCTTTTAGAAGGTAGAGCTAGTGGCCTACATAAAAATTGCATTTTTCAGCTGGGCACAATGGCTTACACCCGTAATCCCAGCACTTTGGGGGGCCAAGGCAAGCAGATTGCTTGAGCTCAAGAGTTCAAAACCAGCCTGGACAACATGGCAAAACCCTATCTCTACAAAAAATACAAAAAAAAAATTAGCAGGGTATGGTGGCGCACACCTCTGGTCCCAGCTACTTAGGAGGCTGAGACACAAGAATCACTGGAGCCCAGGAGGTGGAGGTTGCAGTGAGCCATTATTGTGCCACTGCACTCCAGCCTGGGTGACAGAGTGAGACGCTGTCTCCAAAACAAAGTATTTTTCATTGGCATTAGGAGTCATTTTAGATACTTGCTTTGAGTGTGTGTTTTGTTCATCTGTCTTTATGTATGTAATTTATCAGTTTATCTACATTTATTTCTCAATTTCTTACGAAGCAAAAATTTCACTATGGGAATGTCTTCAGTTATATAAGAAATAGAACAGAAGTATTAATCAAAAGTAGAGAATTTTCCTTTTTGGGGTAGCTTTACAAGAACTGCATCTCTTCTGAATATCGGTGGGGTTTTGTTATTGCTTTTGCCTTATACTTTTATCATTTCTAAAATCTAAGTCCTTCACCTGTTAATCTAACTTTGACTTCTAATTGTTGGAGGATGCTTATGATTATTTCAGAAAAAAAATAGTATTCTTTTTTTTTTTTTTGAGGAGTGCAGTGGCACGATGTCTCTCACTACAACCTCTGCCTGGGTTCAAGTGATTCTTCTGCCTCAGCCTCCTGAGTAGTGGAACTACAGGCATACACCACCATGCCTGGCTAATTTTTATATTTTTAGTAGAGACGGGGTTTCACCATATTGGCCAGGCTGATCTCAAACTCCTGACTTCGTGATCCGCCCACCTTGGCCTCCCAAAGTGCTGGGATTCCAGGCATGAGACACTACGCCCAGTCCAAAAAAACATAGTATTCTTTAAAATTATTTTTCCCGAATTAGCCAAAGTAATAAACAAGGAATAAAAGATTTTTAATGTAATATATTAGAATCAATCTCTAATTACAGGTTATATATAATTTACTCATCTAAAACAGAACAATTGTATCAAATTTTACATTGTCATTATCTTGTGAAAGTTTTAGTAAGAAATGAAATGGTCAAAAAGACATGTGGGACACTAATAAAATCACAAGGGAAAACTTCAGATTAGGGTGGTTTGAGAAGTATAAATAAAACCAAAATCATTGGAGTTACATGGATGGATTGGGGCTGATCTTGTGTGTTTGAAATAGTTTCCAATTTATGATATCATGTGATGTGGGTTTTTTTTTTTTTTTTTCCAGCTGTAAAACTACCATAGAAGCTATCCATGGATTGATGTCTCAGGTTATTAAGGATAAACTGTTTAATCAAATTAACATCTCTTAAATGGTCTCTGAGAAGTACTATTGCCTGAAAGTACAAGAAAACCATTCAAGTAACACTTTTAAATCAGTTACCCGAAATCTGATTAGAAGTATAAGGTGCTCTGAAGTGTCCTAAATATTAACATCCTGTAATAAAACTCTTTAAAATGAAATTGTCCTTTCATTTTTTTGTGAGCAGATTCTCAATTTTTTTCTAGTATCCATTAGGGTTCTTGATATGAGAGAAAATATAGTTATTAGAACTTTCTATTTTTAAGAGTCTCAACTATCTAAATTAGTCAAAGAATTTCAGCATTTCACTTGCCATACTGATTGTAAGAACCACTTTTCAATTTGTCCCTTCTTTCAACTGTGTGTAAATAAAATATAAGTTAATTATTTTAATAATGTAACAGGAACACTTTTAATATTCATACAAAACATTAGCTGAGTGGTACCGTAAATTATTTTCCTGAAAATCAAATACTTAGTAGAGACAGCCTAGCACAGGGTATCTAGTCATTCAGATATTCGTCACATGTCTTTCCTGAACTGGCCACTGTTACTTTCTGGAGATAAGCTGAACCAACTAGACACGGCTGTCCTCACAGAAATTCTGGATGCTAAAACTTAGCAAGAAATTAAAGATACTGCTATGAGGGGAGAAATAAAGTGTGTTGGGGACTCTTGGGAGAAATGCATATCCTCGAGAGGGGTAAGCAAAGTTGGCTTCCTGAAGGATGTGGCCTGACCATTAAGTTGAAATTTGACAGATAGGGGGATTAGCCAGAAAGAGAGTAATAGGAAGGTAGATACTATTACAGGCAGGGAGTACAGCAGTGTGTAGAAGCTCAGAGGTAGAAAGCAAGAACCTAGAACCTTCAAGAAAATTAGATTCATTTAGACTTAAGATTGGTAAATAGGGTCAGGCACGGTGACTCATGCCTGTAACCCCAGCACTTTGGGAGAGGCAGGAGGATTGCTTGAACTCAGCAGTTTGAGACCAGCCTGGGTAACATGGCAAAATGTCATCTCTACTAAAAATACAAAAAAATAGCCAGGTATGATAGTGTGCGCTTGTGGTCCCAACTACTTGGGAGGCTGTGGTGGGAAGATCACCTGTGGTCCCAGCTACTTGGGAGACTGAGTGGGAGGATCACCTGAGCCCAGGAAGTTGAGGCAGCAGTCAGCCGTGATTGTACCACTGCACTCCAGCCTGGGCAACAGCGTGAAACCCTGTCTCTAAATTATATAAATAAAAGTAAATAGGAACTCACCAATGACTTCACATGCTACAAAAGGTCAAGGAAGAGAAAACACGAGAGTTTTGTTAGATTTAGCAATGAGGTAGTTTTCAGTTAAGATGAGGAAGCCAATTAATATCCAAATACTTAGTTGCTGATATATTAACATTTTGGCCTGTTTTATGTACCTTTAAAGGTGGCAGTCCCCCACCCCCAATTTCAGATGGCACAACCTGACCTCCATTTTTGTGCCCTTTAAAAAAAAATGGGCCAGGAGCAGTGGCTCACGCCTATAATCCTAGCACTTTGAGAGGTTGAGGTGGGTGGATTGCTTGAGCTCAGAAGTTCGGAACCAACGCGGGTAACATGGTGAAACCCTGTCTCTACCAAAAAGAAAAAAATCATTACCCTCAAAAGAACAGCCAAACTCTGCAGTTACTGCCGAAGATATAGCAACACCTACGTCATATTGAGTTATTCTAGTAACACAAGACAAGTTGTTTGATGTTTCTCTCAAAGACATAATTAAATGGTTCAGGTTTTGACATGAAAAAAAGTAAGGAGTCATTGAAGTCACCATGAAACCATATTAGCAGTTTTCATTCCAAGATTTGAATGCAGTTATTCATATTTACTTTGACATTCCACATTTAATTTGACATTGGTGAACTTACTAAGATTATGTTAGAGGCGGTGCATGGTGGCTCACACCTGTAATCCCAGCACTTTGGGAGACCAAGGTAGGTGGATCACTTGAGATCGGGAGTTGACCTCAAGTTGACCAAGTTGACCTGACTTGAATACAGTTATTCACATTTAATTTGACATTGGTAAACTTATTAATTAAAATTATCTTGGATGCTGGGTACAGTGGCTCACGCCTATAATCCTAACACTTTGGGAGGCCTAGGCAGGTGGATCACCTGAGGTCAGAAGTTCAAGACCAGCCTGGCCAACATTGCGAAATCCTGTTTCTACCAAAAATAAAAAATTAGCTGTATGTAGTGGCACATGCTTGTAGTCCCAGCTACTCAGGAGGCTGAGGCAGAAGAATGCTTGAACCCAAGAGGTGGAGGTTGCAATGAGCTGAGATCACACCACTGCACTCCAGCCTAGATGACAGAGTGAGACTCTGTCTCCAAAAAAAAAAAAATTACATTGGTGGGATGGAAAATATCTATGCTTACAATGGAGAATTACCAGGGAAAGAAAGCTTTTCAGTCCTAATTTCACTGGACTCATTTTGAGAAGTGTCAGCACTTCAGTAACGATACCTTGGTTGGAAATAACCACAAAACAAAACAAAAAGTTACTTTAAAAGAATATATTTGCTCATTGTCAAAAAAAGATTCTGACTTCACTCTGATTGACCTAACGAGTTATGAGCCCACCTTTGGGATTACATATAGCAACTGCTGAGATCAATTAAGGGCTACTTCTAGAGCGGGGAATAGGGACAACAAACCAAAACGCACAGCTACCCAGTGGGTCAAATGGATGCCACAGACACGACCAACAATGTCTCCTCAAGCAACCATCCAGCCCAGGCTCTAACAGCCCCAGAATGAAGCATTTGCATTTCATTTAATGTAGTTACTTTATTAAAGAGATCCTTTACAAATATTTTTAAGTACTTCTTTACATTTTAATGTATTTTCATGATTACTTTTGGTATTAGTGCTCCAGTTTATAACACTGAGCTTTTAGGAAATCAGGTTTCAATTTCCAGCCATCATTCAGAAACTAAGTCTAAGTTGGGGTTGCCTAAACTAAGTTGGGGTTGCCTTTTCCTGCAAAGTATTATCTTAAAGCCCTGAGTATTTCAGAGGATATATGGAAAAAGAAAAGAAAAGAAAAAAAAAAAGAAGCCCTGAGCTACTCAAAGGCCATTTTTCCCAAGTGAAGTCTGTTTTTTGTTCAGTTTCAAATTTTTCAGAGAAAATTTCCAAAGCTCTTTGGTGATAACATATAGGAAATGTCAACTATCATAAAAGAATCCCAATGTCCCTAGTAATAAAATGAGCCAGAGCAGGACTAGAAGCCAGGCTAGAGCAGAGATCGAGTGAGAAGCCATTGGATATGGAATAGGGATTGGAGCCAGTTACGGAGGACAGTGAGATACCAGAATCGAGGGTATTCCAAATTTTCCAGCTTGTTTTAATATCTCAAAGTCCTAGTTCCAAAAAGTCAACAATATGACCTTATATATACTGTTGACAAGTATAATATACCTGTAGTACCATTTTATGTTACACTGTCCAGTTATGTGAGTACTTCAATATGTATGTCTTATTTATTGATTAAGAAAAACACACCACACAAGGTGTAATTTTGGAATCAATAGTACTGCCAAGAACAAAAAAGCCAATAGGGGAAGAATAGCCATTTGTGCTCCATTATTTCTCAATTTGGAAATTAAGCTCTGAGACCAAACATCATGTGCTCTGTTAGAGGGATCAAGTCTGAAGATTGTTGTCACAAATTGGTATGACTACCTAGTATTCAGGACTTTGAAAAATCACTGCATTGTACAATAGAATAAACTGCCCCACAGAGCAGCCACTTAAAAATAAACACAGAAGAGAGCAGGAGCATTAGTAACTTTACAGTGAATCAGAGAAACTGTTTGAGGGTTGGAATGCTGCATATTGCAGAGTTTCAAAGTTTCCAAAAACTGTTCTGTGAGTGATGAGGTACAGATGCATAAGTCATGCATGCAGAGAAGAGTTCATTTATATTACTAAGTCTGCACTGTATCCACATGTAGCTGAGTAAACTCAACTGAACACAGATTGTTAAGTATCCAAGGTTTCTATATTGATGGATTGTTTTAAGTATAACTCAATATACCTATTTGGTGAGTAATGTGGGTTTTTTGTTCTGTTTTGAAGACAGGAAGATATACTACACAGAATGACAGCTTTTAATTTTGCTCATTCTTATAAAATATAATTGTTTAAATTATAATAAGATCATTATGTCATTCACTATTTAATAATTGACATATCTATGCCATTGTGTTCATAAAATAATTGTTAGAAAATTGAAAGTCTAGTTGTGTGTTCTCTCATTTTGGCCTATTTTCAATACGAATTCCAACAGCAAATAAATTTACTTTCTTGGGGCCAAAATCTAGTTTAAGTAACTAATTCTGGGATAATAATCAGTCTATACATTTCTAAAGGTTTCTAAACTTTTTATCCAAATGCTAGCAGAAGAAATACCATTCATCTTTGTAAACATAATGTTATAATCTATTTTAGAAACTTAATAACACAAAACTCAGGTCAACTCTGACCAGATTGACATACTTAAACTTTTGATCTCAGAAATAATATTACAAAAATAAAATCAGGAACTTTATCATTTCAGGTCATTTGGGAGGAAACAGCTAAAATCATAGCTTGATAACTAACACCAATGATTAATTGCTTTTTCAACATGTGGATTATCTTGGTGCCAAAAATTATGGAACAACTGCTTAACAAATTGGAGAGTCCCTGATGTCAATGCTCATATTTTCTTTGGATTATACTAAGCAATTACGCTAAAGTTTCTAATGACTGAGTAAAATGGTATTTGTGCCTTGGGCACATTTTGATGAACTACAGTTGTACTTTTCAAAACCTAAGAAGCATATGCTTTAAAAAGCATACTGTCTATCATAAATCTGTTTGACCTTTATGTTAGATTTCAGAGGATTATTATAAGTATCATAAAACTATAAATATGATTACCATTGATAGTCGTTACTTTACGATACTTACCTTCCTGAAAAATCAGTTGATATAAACTCATCTCTAAATAAATGTTTAACTTATATGATTCATTTTTTTTCATTTATTTTCCTAGCACTTGCTACATACTCCATTCTTATATTCAGTTGAATTTATTCTATGTATCATTGATGTGCTAAATAAGTCCTTTAA